AAAGAAGAAAGAGAAAAATGTATTGAAATTAATATGCAGCCCAAACAGGAGCATTATTCTCACAAAAATCATTTGATAAATTAAACTTTCTTCATTCTAGACACTGCATCCAATCCTCCTACCAATAAATAACGCCTCCAGGAAAAATATACAACAAATGATCCTATTTCCACCTACTTTGCATTATATTGCAGATTTAGCGACTCAAGACAGTACAACATGCAGTCGATTAAGTGCTTAAAACATATTGTAAACAAACGAATAAAATATCTGATTTAGTACTTCTCTATTTGACCTAGATCTCATTATTATAAAAAGCATCAAAGAAAGATTTGTATGCACATAGAGATAGAAATTTGACACACTCACTGAGTACAAATATTCAACTGCTCTCTCTGGATTGTTGAAAGCGGCACGAAGAGCTCGGACAACTGTCTCTCTGTCCCAAGTTCCCCCACCCATATCAAGAATCTGCTGGACCGCTCCATCTAGGTTGTTGCCAGCAACGAGACTAGATGCAGCTTGGTCATATACATCTGACCTGATACCATACAAGCTATCAGCTGTCAATTGAAAATTAAGCATTCTAAAGCTACTGATAAAAATTACAAACTTATGCACATAAATTCCATTTTGAGAAGAGTTACGCACACGGCAGTGCCAGCTGGAGCTGGAGGGGGAATGGGAACAGGTGCCGGCCTGCAATGAAATATATAAAATGAAGACCAATTTGCTCACAATACATGTACATATATGGAAGGGGAAGGGAGAGAGCATAGTATTTCGACAACTCCTATGCACATTAAACAGTGGTAGGAAAAACAAAACTCACGTCGTTACAGGAACTTGAGAAGTAGCCGATGCTGGAGTAGTAGGAGGTGGAGCACTCATCTGTTTAGCCAACAAGGAGGGGAACACTTTTAGATATATCCCATTCCACAATAATTTTAACAGCATGATTAGAATTAAAAAAATTCACCAAAAGTTATCCCCCCCAAAAAAAAAAAAAAAAGACCCTAGAGCCTTCCTTTTTCCAGACAGATAAATAAAAGGTGTTCAATCAAG